CCCCCCCCCCCCCCCCCCCCCCCCCCGTGTAAGTAGCCCCAGCTGTTAGGACACTTTCTTTGCTCCAGCTTCTCACTCGTATCTTCCCGTCGTCTACTCTCTGTCCCTCTCTCAGGATGGGAAAGAAGGCTTTGAGAAGTGGAGGGTGGAAAACTCCTGGGGCGACGACCGTGGGAACAAAGGTAAGCTGAGAGACACATGACGCATGATTACACAACTCTTACTTTTAGTCCTTTTAGGATGATTTTCTTTTCTTTAGATTTAACCTGTAATGAAATGCGAGCAAAGTATATTTCATCCTGATCGTTGTCTGGTCACAGAGATGTAGCAGTGACTTCTGAAACTTGTACCTGGATCTGATCCCGGAATCATATTCATGCTCTCACGTCCTCCTTCCTCATCTCTCTTTCACATCTTTCTCACACCGCGGTGTCTCGTGATAAATCATCATCTTCCTGTTTGTGTCTATTGAATTAAGAGAGGGATTAGACTGAGAGGTTCCCCTGAGCTGCTGCTTTATCAACTTGTAATTGGCTGTGTCCTGTTTCATAAAGACACACACACACACACACACACACACACACACACACATACAACGGCCCTCATTGTGTTCTACGAGCTTCTGGGTCAAGTTGCATAAACGTAGTTTCAGAATGAGCTAATCCGCGAGGTCAGACAGTAGCACAGCGAAATTCCTCAAAATGTCTTTGCAAAATATTTGGTTTTAAGGACTTATGGTGGCTCGGTGACGTGGTGACTGCTCACAACTCCAATGAATTGATTACGCCGTGAAATGTCTCTGTTTGATATGCTTGTGTGACCGGGCATTAGAGTATCTATGATACAACACTGACGCCTGCTTTTTTTTTTTAAATGGGAACTTTTGAACCTTTTTTTTAGTGGTCGGCTAACCGAGTTGTTTTGGTTTTTGAAAACCACAAATTTTAAATGAATGAACTTACCAGTAAGTCATTTTGCTGCATCGGGGGGGTGTTGTCATTAAGTAAGGCGGGTTTTGCACCACAACACAGCAGGTCGTCCACATCACTGCCCCAGACTTTACCGTCTCTCCTTTCATCTCTTGTTCCTCATCTTCCTCTGACCCTCTGACTCTCTTCTCCATCTCTGGGCTCCACATTCCACTGCAAATTATAGGAGAGTATTTCAGGTCAGACATGCATCGTGTGGCAACACACACATACAGTGCAGCATATACACACTGAGAGAGACACACACATACTCCTCACAATATTTGCTTGAACCCACAAACCGTAGTGACTGTTAGGAAAACCCCTTCGGTCAAATCAAATGTATTTCACGCATATCTTATTCCATAAACACCGGCAGATATGGAGGGCCGGGGCCCACAGCTCGTTACAAAATTAATAAAGTGCTTGAGAACAAGAGTTCGAGACGTGGAGTTCATGAGGGGAAATCCGGGGGCTTTGTTTGTTTGGCAAAGTCTTAGGGGAAAAAAACGGCAAAAGTGGAGAAAAGACGAGGAAAGCATGCAGGAGAGAGCTGAGACAGAAATTGCGGCGTAGAGCAGGTCGAATCCGTTTGAAATTAGGAAAAATAAACGGCAAGTAGATGTGGAGATGATTTTGGAAAGATGACAAAGGATAAATTGGAAGAAGAGGGAGAGAGTGGAGTGTGCTTATAAGGGTTTTAAAGGCTTAACGTCTCCCTTCAGGCCTTTTCATATTCTTCCTGACTCCAAAAGAGTTTCTCACGAGAGGTTTAACTTTCTGTTTCCTCCATTTTCCACAGCTCGTACTTTTACACCGCTTCAGACGGATGCTTGGCTACACGCTCCGAGGTTTTTATTTTCACTTTGAAGGGGCTCGACCCTGAGGCCGACACCTTAACATTCGTCACGAGTTTCGCTTGAGCTGTGAACGAGGTTTGACGCGTAGAGAGAGAGAAACTCCGATTTTCCACGAACATGATTCTATTGTTGAGTAAACGCAAGAAGATGACGTTAATGTGGACGGAAGGGTTTCCTTTGTAGCGCACAGAACAGATTCTTGGGAGGAGAAGCTTCATTAGCTTTACCCTATGCTTCTAATCTATTGCCATTATTTTACATCCAAACCACAGTATCATATCTGTCCCCTCTCATTTAAAGGACCCATTTCAGTATCTGTGACGTGAAAAATGCCTTTTCTGTGGTCTGACCACAGCTCTGCGGGTGCACCGTTGTCAAAATTATTTCACAGCTGCATCTTGTGCTCTAATCATCGACCCAGCTAACCTCTTCTCAAACAAGTGTGTTTTTGATACGTCCAAACCACGGTTCATGTCGGCCGGTGATCGTCATGGGATGTGGATTGCTGCTCACGTTGGAAAGCAAGATGGCTGCTCCACATTCTTCTAGCTTACAGTACATCCATCTGTTCTGAGACGGGACAGTCAGCCTATCCCTAAAAACAAATAAGGACACCCAACATTCACACACACACACACACCACCATGCCACCCAACACGCGGGTTCCAGGAAGCTCACATCAACACACACGGATACCACAGTGAGAACCAGGCAACGTGCCATCTAAATCTGCGTACTTGGAAGAACACACGTACACAACAGACACGCCATCCCCCGATACATTGTTTCCTGCGGTCACCCCGACATCTTTGATATGTCAACTCGACAGTAGGAGGGATGCTCTCGTTTGCTCAACTCTGAACACACGAGGAGAGGAAGAGGAGAACAAAATAGCTTCAAGTTATTTTGATTCACTCGCGAGCTCTAGTTGCTTCCCGTATGTGTCGGTTCAAGACCAAATCTGAGCTGCTTCTGTTATCTAAGTAGAAGACAGACATGCAGGCATTCTGTCAGTGTAAGTTCAAGGTTTGCTTTCATAACCACCCAGATTTGGCCACGTTGACCTTTTTTGACTGCACACACACACGCGCGCTGATGGAGACAGAGACGGGCATTGTTTCGTTTTATCAGGGTGGGCGTGCAGAGGTGAAAGCAGAAGTGTCGAATGCAGACTGCGCTGCAGGCTGGGGAAGCGTCCTCCATCCTTCTGCCCGTTGTAACAATAGAGTTCGGTGATAAAGAGCACTAAGAAGCAATTCAAACGTGTGTGCATAGACAAAGTGTGTTCGACCATTCTGTTCTCAGCAGCACTCCTTCCCCGTCAGTGAAAATCCACCTAACCTTTGAAGAGGTCTAACCGGTGTCGCATCATCAGGCTAATGTCCATTGATGACTTAAGAGAGCTGGACGTGGTGATGCCAGTCAGTTTGTTCAACTGGTCAGCCATGCGGCCCACAAAGCGTTTACCCCATAGACATAGACTGTGAAACCTAGAATTTCAATCATAGATCAACTCATAAAATGTTACATGAAGAATGTTGAAAATACAGACTGTTTGTTTGAGTAAGAATATTTGCAAGAATATTTTTTGAAATCGTCTGATGAACCAAACAACTTGACCTGATTTGGATTGATTTCCAAGTTTTGATTTGTTTTTTTCCTCTTTTTCTTTAATCCCAGTTCTCCGCTTGACTGCCATCGTTTGAGGTGAAAACCGACTTTCCCGACTGATCGGTTGTCTTCCCTGTCTTTCTCTGTAGGTTACCTGATCATGACGGACGATTGGTTCTCCGAATATGTGTACGAGGTGGTGGTAGACAAGAAGTACCTCTCAGCTGAAGTCCTGGACGTGATGCAACAGGAGCCCGTTGTGCTTCCTGCCTGGGACCCCATGGGAGCCCTGGCATAACTACAGAATTCCAGGTTTTAGTCCCAACCTCTGGTCTATTTGACTCCGCCCTATTCATCGGCTGCTTTTACCTCTCCAATACCCCCCCCCCCCACACACACACACCACCTTCCAAAACAGCCTAATCTTCTAGACAAAATAATAAAGATTTTGTTTTCTTTTTTACTGGACTGCCTGGTTCTTTTGTCTGCCTTTGTTTTTTGCGATGGTGTAAGGCTCTGAATCTGGGCCTCAGCATTTTAAAAGGTGGGTTTATTGCATCATAAACACTTTTTAATTTTGAAACAAGGCAGCTTCACAAACGAGCAGAATATTTAATAGTTGTATACTCACTAGTACTGTATCACTGCTGTGTAATTCCACTTATACTCCTGTGTGCTCCAGAGTTTTAAACATATTTTTATATGAGACCAATGGTCGTGTTTTTCACTGCGACTCTTTCCCCTCTTGGACACGTGCAAAACAGCAGTGATTTACTGTGCTTGGAATAACACTTGCAGAATTTCCAATAACACGCTATCTTACCATAACATCCTGTCTCTACAAACACTGTTTAAACCAGAAAGGTAGCATTTTTGGTATGCATGTGTATATGTATTATTTTTTGCCTGTATCTCCCATCTAATATTAAAAGCAGGAAAGGGTCCCACTTCAACAATACTCGCTCCATTTCTACAGAGAACAGCTTCTTTTTCCAAGCACTTCCTGTCCAGCCTCCTGTAATCACTTCTCAGCGACGTTCCAACTCTTCCTGCGTTAAAACACTCCTGTCAAGGTAGGGACGACCTCTGACCTCCCAGCAGTTGGTCTGTCAGCTAAGTTCTTACTGTTCACCTTCTGCAGCGTTGTTGTTGAGAGCATTCTGCATCACTGGCCTAATGTAGAAGGGAGGGCTTGGATAGGATAGCTTTTAGTGTCAATTCAGCAAAATCTAGAGGGGAAGAGGCCTTATTTTATTGCAATTACAATGACGCATCTTTCCTGTCAGATTGCACTGTGTACGGAGACATACTGGCATTAGAGTAATCCTAAAAACATGATACAGCCTACCGTAATAACTCCTACATACTCCTACCCATCAACCTGCAATTTTTCATCTTAGTTTCTCAACTTCTCTTTCCTGTTCTGGCATTCCAGTTTATCTGCAGCTTGCCTCGTGTGTTTTATATCCTCTTCTACTTTCTCCCGGTGTTCCCACATCCGACATGTTGCAGCCTCAGTGGATTCAAAGACAAAGCCAGAGATTTTGTGAATTATAGTGAAGCAGTTTAGAAAAATGTACACTCTACAGAAGCTGGACAGAAGTTCTGAGATTTAAGGGTTAATTAATAGCAGTCCCTACAATCTATTTCCTAGAAGTCCTCCCTCACAGGAATGGTATTTACTTTTTTTTTAATCTGGGTTTGATTTAGAGTGCACTGTAAATCTTAGCTGGCGGATCCCGGGTTTCGTAATATGTTCAAGAGGAAGTGGGAGATACTTTTTAATGATATTTCACCTTTGTGTAAAAGTTATCACACAGAGTAATCAGTTGCCATGAATAAACTGCACAGTCGAATGTTTTCCGTAAACAAATGTTTTTTTAAATGTTTGATAAAACAAATGTGTGTGCGCAGTGGTGCTAAATAAACAGCAGGTACAACATATTACAAAGACATATGGAGAGCTAATCTATCCTGATTATGTTCGTGTGTCAGGGTTGAGTAATTCCTTGTGACTCTTAGTATGCAAAAAGATTTGCAGGAGACAATCTGTTACGAGTCTTCATACGTCTAACATTTTTGTTGTGTCTTGTTTTGCCCTTTAGCTGTCAGATAGTGGTGTAATGCAATCAACTGTAATGAAAGTACATTTACTCCACTACACTTCTAATTACACCATCTCCACCTTCACTAACCACCACATTAACACGCTGGTTATGTGTTAAAAGCATGCGGGATAACAATTCAATCATGAAATGGTCACATTAAATGATTACTTTACTGACTTTACTTTTTTTTTATATTTCAAAGTAAGACATTTAATTCATTATTTTAATAACATTGGTGTATTTCTACTTGTAGGCTATTTAAGAAAAAGGATCCAAACTCCAAGTAACGAATGTGCTAATTGACGCATTTAGTTCCGACCGACCACACTCTGGCAGTAATGCGCGCGCAGACACAGGTGTACGTTTATTGATTAATGGTTTGTGACTGAGCATGTCGGACAATCAGGAGATGACCACATGTCAAGTTCTCAGGTAATTTTCAGGATATTGTTTTCTACTGAAAAGGGAAGACTTCACCATGCAAGACTAATGCTTTACTGAAGATAAATCAAGGTTCGTATAACTTTCTCTCAGCACATTGTTTGTAATGTTTTCTACCACCAAAACGGCTCATATTTTGACAGGTTGACTCATGGATTAACTTTATGCAAATTAGCTAACCTAAACCTAACCTAATGTTATGACGATTAGCGCTAGCCAAACGGACAAACTCGAAATAAATACCGCACTAAAGACATTTATTTTGCTTTGTTTTTGCACAACTTTTCTGAATTTCCCGTCAGTGTTTCAATAATTCAATGCTCTCCTACAGTAATATTTCGGGAGTGCATCAACTGTGTTAATTTTACTGCTAATTTGAAATGAGCTCTCCGAGCGTGCTCGTTTTTTCCACAATAAAAACTTTCGACGCGATGGAGACTTTTATTGTGAAAGCAGCGACAGAAAATGCCCGGTTCTTGTCACGGTATTGTCAGGAGGACAGGTCACTGTGTTTGCTCTAACTTTATGTGCATTACTGAACCTGATGGCTGTTGCTAATGTCATGGCATTCATAGGAATTCAGATGCTGTGTGCTAATATATCTAAACAGGTTCTTTGTGTATATTTGTACATGAAAAGTGATATTTGTAGTAGATTGGTGATCAAGAAGACACTGCTCTATGTGAGTCAGATTGAATCGTTCATTGTGCTCCTGAAGGTGAAATCTGTGCATTGTATGACACAGTTACAGCTTTGGCAGCCTACATCACGGTCCTCGCACGTTTTCGTCTCTTGGAGGCGTCCTGTGCAGGCTTATTGTTGTTATTTCTTTCAGGTACAGTATGGGACGCAGAACTAAACCGGATTGTGGACTTCTGAACCCGTCCACCCTGGTTTACAAGACGTATAAATGACGTCCAAAAATGAGTCTTGTGATAGTTTGTGTTTGACGGGAGGAATTAGCCTCCAGTTGAACCGTCCTGGACTGTTCATCACACACCTGGTCTCATTATTCCCCCTTTTTCAGTTGTGTGTTTGTGTGCGCACACACGTGCCTGTGTCTGGATTTGTGTGTGTTGCAATTAGGATTAACCTAGTACTTCAGCTGATGCTGATTGGAATGACGTTGAACACTCACTCCCAGGCTGGCTTTTCACAAGAACACTGGGGCTGGACGCTGTGTGTGTGTGTTTTGGGTCAGACAGGAAGAAAGAGGACAAGGTGATTACAATTTAATGTCAACATGACGGTGACTGCGTCGTCTGCCTCGACCCAAGCCGCTGTCTTTTATATCCCTTCAATCTCTCTCCCCACGTACCCACACACACACACACTCGCACACAATGAAGGTTTAGTGGACCGACTGCACTGCTGTACCTGGCATGGTGCCTTTTGGCCCAGGAGGTTGCGAGTGGAGTTAGACCACGACACAGACGGGCTGGCACTCGTATATTCTCTCTCTCACACACTTCATAATGTAAATATTCCACTTACACTGGTTTTCTATATTTTGTAAAATGATTTATGCATCAGTATTCACCTCTTACTCATCTTCGGCCCTCCTTGTAAATATGCGTCAAGGAGTCTTGGATTAGGGGCAGGAATCCTTTTCGTGTGTGTGTGTGTGTGTGTGTGTGTGTGTGTG